CTCCCAGGGTGTGCAGTGACAGAAGCCCCTCCCCCTCGACAAGCCTCAGCTCTGTCCCACTCCTTGCCCCACCCTGGCTGGGCAGCACTTGCCCCATCCCCTGCCCCCTCCCTCCCTCCCTGCAGGGGCCTTGATCTGCCCCCCTACTCCCCTTCCACCACACCAGACTGCACACAGCTCTCCAAACTGCCAGGCTGCACTCCTCACCACCTACATGCTGTGCTGTGGCTGCACACATGCAAGGGCATTTATCAGCCAAATCATCAGCTACATCAAGCCGATTTCCGATGCACTCAATTTTCTTTATATCAGTGCCAATCTGATATTGGACTGATGTATCTGTGCAACTCTACTACAAACCAAGTGCTCTGGTTAGTACCACCACTTGATTTTCTGAGCAGAGTTCAGAACTAGCCTATTAATTTACCAACCTAAAGAATTTAGGGATATGAAGAGAAGCTCACTAAGTCCCTAATCCTGCAAACTTTAACATATACACTTAACTTGAAGTCAATAGAACAATTCACAATTCATGGCTTTAAGCACATAGGAAGTTTGCAGAATTACAGCTTCAGTTTGTCTCTTCAGACTTCTACTATAAAGTAAAGACACACTTCCGGATTAAATATGGATCCAGCACAAAAGAGCAAGACAGGGAAACACAGTTTTAAATTAATTAACCTTTGAGGTAATTTATTACTTTATAAAAGTGTGCCTTCAAAACCAAAGCAGTAGCACAATTAGCTCAAGTATGACATAAAAAAGGCTTATATCCTCCCAGCCCAAATTACTTACAGTTACTATCAAGTCTTCAGCTCCTGGTGACACTTTTCTTCGTGTTGAGACTGAAATTATCTCGTTTTTGCTGGATGAGGGATACCTGACAGTAGATTTAGGAAGTGAGTTACTAACAGAAAAGTGTCCAATTAGAAGACAACACATAAGCCGAGCATGTTAAAACTATTATGTCTAAGCATCCTTTGAAAAATAAAAAGCAAAATGTAAGAGATTAAAATACACAGCATGATCTTCAGGAACAAGCCTCTAATATCAAGCTATGCCGTATGTGATTTACCCCACAATACATGGTAAGATTCCCAACTCTGAAGAGTGGATTTTTCCATCCCATTCAGCAAGTTACAGCCATACTTGCACAAACTGTTGTATGAAGTAATAGGTACAGGTTATGCTTTTTGGCTATTACCGATGATTTTGGTGATGGCAATGATTTTGGTGATTAATGCATTAATTTTGTATTACCATGTTTAGTAATTAGTTTGAAGCTCAAGACAATGTCTGTCTTGACCATCTTATTACCCAAGTAGGTGCATTTTGTTCATTTTCTTTATGTCATTAAGGAAAGCCTGGAATTCAATGACAAATTGAAGCAGCCAGCTTCAACTGAAGCAGGTTTGCAAAGCTAGAGACAACAAGGCAATTTAATTCTTCCTGTTGGGGCAGTAAGTGTAACTCGTTAACAGTTTAAGTTACTTCCTACAGAAAAGTAGCAAATTTACCACTGAAGCATCCACAAGGTACAATGCATTTTTAGGGCATTAAATCAGGTTTCTGTAGCACACTTATGCTAAGTGAGGTCATTCTCTACATTTTTCTAGCTAATTATTTGACTTTACAGTTGTTCTCAGAACTTGCATGACAACCTTCTGCCTCGTGGGGCTGACAGGCAACCACTCCCTCCCCGCCAGCTCCGTGTGTACGCACGCATGCTCACACTTCCCCCAAAACCAGGATCTCTTTAAGTATTTTCCAGTTTGTATTTTATTCAGCACAAGGGATGCCTAACAGAATTTTACAGAAATAAAGAAACACTCAGGGATAGTTGTTAACACAGCAAGCAAAAAACAGTGGTGGTTGTGCAACGTATCTGCCCAATGCTGCCACACGAAGCAAATCACTGTTACGAATATTTCAGCTCTCATTTTAAGGAGGTTTCGGTTTTTTCAGACTTAATCATGAGGTTGGTATGAAAAAAAGGGGAAGAAACATCTCACCAAATGAGTGTCTCTCAGGGAGACAGAGAGGAAAAAAAAAGCAAACCTACAAAACAGGTTTGGCCAAATCAGAGGAAAACAGCAACTTTGCGAGAGTGAGATGATTTCCCGGGCTGGAAAAGGGACCTCGCAGCTTCTCCTGGTAAACAAGTGACTTCCACCGCAGCTGGGCTCCTCTGCTTGTTATTTTTTTTGGGAGGGAGGGAACCCCGTTAGGGGGCAAGAAGCCTTCGTGGACCGGGGAGACCTTGGGGAGACTTTGGGAGGGGCTGAAAGGGAGCAGGGCGATGCAGCCCCGACTCGCACTCCCGCTGCAAGAGCCACCTGCCCAGACGTGCGAGCGCGCCGGGACTTGCCCCGCCCCGCGGAGTCCCCTCAGCACACCCGGCCACCGCCCCACAGCTCGGGAGGCGCCTTCTCCCGCCCCGTGGGCCAGGGCTGCGCTTGGGCACGGGAGCTCGCGAAGCGCTGGCAGGGCCCGACCCCGGACCCCCTCACCACGCCGCGCCGAGCCGGTC